TTTTTTTTTTTTTTTTTGCTGTGATAGGGATTGAACCACAGGGTCTTAAGCATACTTGGTAAGCTTTTTACCACTGAGCTACACAACCAGCCCCCAAGATCAGGACATCTTTTCAGCTTACATGACAATCAGATCACACAGAGCTTAAGTGACTTAAATAAGGTAGTACCTCAGGATTCAGAGTGCTCAAATGTGACTGTGTGGTCTGAATGTGGCAGACCAGCTCATCATCCTGCATTGTTAGGAAGGCAGGGTCCTTCTCATGAGGCCCATGGWGAGAGGTTCACCAGCCCCCATATCCCTCTGCTCTGTGCAGTACCATATCCCCATTCCTTGGTCTTTCTGATAACCAATTATAGCCACCTGCTAGGTTCTTCTTGCCCCTACCCTGTGACCAAGGAGTCAGTCCAGAAGTACTTATGGAGTCTCTACAACGGACTGGGCCTGTGGGAGAGGCTTGGCTCAGCAGCTGCACAGGCATACACAAAACTGCGCCTGGTGCACAGTGCCTGAGCAACGGCTRTAGGAATTACCCATCTCCTAATTCCTGTTTGAATGTAATAGCGGACACTCAGAGGTGGTCCTGGAGTGAAGCTACACCTCGAGTTTGTTTTATTCAGCTTCATAAAATTTGAGCTATGAGAGATTGAAGAAGGAAAAATTGAGGTGTGGGATAACACAGTAGATCTAGGAGTCCCTGTGTGTCCTGACTCTAAAAAAACGCTTAATAATAGTAGAGGGTGTTTTGTGTGCCAGTTACTGCGTTTGACTTCAATTGAATTATTTAAACCTCACAGTAGCCCTATATGAGAGGTAGTGGTATCATTTTTTAAATGACTGAGGCTCAGAGGTGGTAAATGACTTTCCCAGGGCTCCACAGCAGTTATGGGGAGGGGCAGATGGTATTTGGGTATAGCTCTCTCAAACCTGTACTTTTAATCTCCACACCACATGGCCTCTCTTAAAGATTGCTTCTACTACTGTGTTTCTATAGTAGAGTAGACTGGGCTCACCAGCAACACTTGTGAGGAGAGGTCCTGGCCTTTACACTGTGTGTATGTGTCATCAGTCTGCTGTGACTGCCAGAAAGGCTACCCACCGCCTGAATGTCCCACTTCAGGATCCAGACAAAGGGAAGACTGAATCAGGGGAGAAGGGTTTAGAGCCTGAAGAACTATTGCTAGGTATTTTAAGTGGGATGCTTTTGGTTTCAAGTGTTCAAAACCCAACCAATCTGCTAAGTCACAGGGGAATATACCACCAGGACCATGGTGCGTGCCTGTAATACCAGTGGCTTGGAAGGCTGAAGCAGGAGGATCACAAGGCCGATCTGGGCAACTTAGCAAGATCCTTTCTCCAGGGGGAAAAAAAAAAATCAAAAGGGTTAGAAATTTGGTTTAGTAATAGAGTGCCCTGGGTTCTATCCCCAGTATCAYAAAACAACAACAAAAAAGGGAATATACCAATTCCTATATCCAGAAGCAATGTTCCAGGGGCTCTTTGAAGACACTCTATACTAATGGGTGCTTAGAGAGTGTTTACTTCTCAGCATTTTACTTGGTTGTGCCAGGGTGAACAGGACTCCACATTGATCAGACAGCTGTCCCTGCCTGGCCCAGGGTTTGGGGACTTAGTGTCCACTTATGTCATTTAATCCTCTCAGCAACCTTGAGCCATAGAAACTAATATCTCTGTCTTACTAACCAGGAACCCAGGTCTCAGAGAAGTTAAGTAATTTCTGCAAAGCTACACGGCTGGAAATGACTTCACCCCTGCATTCTTTTTTTCATATACAATATACTTTGCCACCCCAGAGTTGTCTTCTTTGACTTGTATTTCTGGCATGTAAGTTCTGCTATTCAGAACCTTCTACCCTAGCTGGCTTAAAAGAGTGGGTGGTGTGGGGGACCCATTATTATTGACAGCTTGAATTGGTTTATTTTCAATTTATTTTTAGTTTGTTATTTATTTATTTGAGGGGTCTCAATATGTTGCCCAGGCTGGTCTATAACTTCTGGACTTAAGTGATCTTCTTGCCTTAGCCTCCAGGGTAGCTGGAACTATAGGTATACTCTACTGCACAGGCTTTGAGTTGTTTTGATGTGTCTATGAAGGACAACCAGGAAGGTGAGGTGGAGGAGGGTGTCTGTGGCTGCTCAGGAGGTGCCTTTGCAGATCAGAAAGTTGTGGTCAACTTCAGAGGGGCCCATGTCTTTGGTGAGGAACATGCCACCAATGACTTCATGTCTATTAGACTCTGGACTCTTTCTGTTTGAGTCTAAAATCAGTGCTTCTGTGTTCAGGGTCTGGTTCCAAAGTCAGCTTCTGGGGCAGAGTTTTTTAAGTTATTATCTGGGACATCATCTACTTCCAGAACACCTGGAAGCTTGATTTTAAAATGCAGATCTAAGCCTGCTTTGGTAGAGTGCTCTTATCACAGCTGCTGGGGAGGCTGAGGCAGTAAAATTGCTTGAACCCAGGAGTTTGAGGCTAGCCTGGACAATATAGTGAAACCTCATCTCTTTAAAATAAAAAAAGAAAGAAAAAGAAAAAACCCAAAAACAGATCTGAAGGGAAGGGCTTTATTGATTTAGAGCCTCTGGTACCAGAATTAAGTAATCAAGTTCTGATGTATTCTTGGGCTCACTGAAGTTTGAGTTTTGTTGTTCTAGAGCAGAGATTATTAATCCTGGCCATCAACTGAAACTACCAGGAAAGTGTTTTATTATTGTTGTTTTGTTCGGGTACCAGAGATTAAACCCAGGGGCACTTAACCACTGAGCCACATCCCTAGCCCTTTTAAAAATTTTTATTTAGAGACAGGATCTCACTAAGTTGCTTAGGGCCTTGCTGCATTGCTGAGGCTGGATTTGAACAAGTGATCCTTCCACTTCAACCTCCTTAGCCACTGGGATTTACAGGCATGTGCCACCACATCCAGTTGCCAGGGAGCATTAAATGAATATAAATGGTTGAGTTCTACTCCTTAGAAACTGTGATTTAATACTCAGGTATTACTCTTTGAAAAAAGCAAAAAGAATAAAAGAAAATCCTTTAGGTGTTTGTTATATGCAGCTAGGGTTGAAAGATCTTCAGACCAACAGCAATACCCAGGAATTTGTTAGGAATGCAAAAATCTTAGGTCCCATCCTAGACCTGCTCAGTGAGAACCTCCAGGGTGGGTCCCAGCAAATGTGTTTGTTTACAAGCCCTCTAGGTGATTCTGAAGCATTGTAAAGGTTAAGAATTATTGATTTGGAGCGTTAGTTCTCAGTCTTGACTGCACATTAGAATCACCAAGGAGAGCTGTTGTCATTTATCCTAACTGGAGGCCTAATGCTGGGTTCACAAAATCTGACTATTCCAATAACTTAAGAAAACGGCAAAGAAAGCATGGAAAAACACACAGAAGTACCTTTTCAAAATCCATGACGACTCTCTGACCTTAAGGGTTGGAGGAAAGAGCGAGCCACTAGAATTCTTTATTCTTATTTAGGGGACACACAAGGGGAAGTTCCATGGAACATTCTATCCCCAAAATGGCAAAGGGGTAGGATTACAAAGGAACAGGTGAGTGTGACTCAACCCCACCCGGTGACACCTACTCCTGGAGCCACACCTCATTACCCGAGTGGAGGTAAAGCCCAAATTATTGCTGGGCACGATAATTGTTCAGTATCTCTTTCTCAGGACTAAAGGGCATGTATTTCCAGAGCAGCTCCTGACAGAGGGCTTTGAAGAATCCCTATGCTGGACTGAGGGTGTAGCYCAGGGATAGAGTATTTGCCTCATACACATGAGGTCCTGGATTCAATTCCCAGCATTGGAGGGGAAAAAAAACAAAAAACCCTAGTGCTTACTCAGGTTCCATTCCAGACCAGTTACCTCAGGATCTCCTGAGGTAGGACTCAAAGATCAGTATTTTTAAAAGTTCCCCAGGTGATTCCAGTCTTCAACCAAGGTTAAAAAATCCACTGTCCTAGAGGAAGAGAACAATGTTTCCTTAAAGGAGCTATAAGTATTTGGAACCTTTGGTGTAAGACATCATCATTTAGGTGCATCCCAAGGGTGGAGATGAAAAGTCCAAAGGGACTTAAGTTGGAAAACGTTGGGCAGCAGTGAGGTTAATGCATTGGCACAATTCTAAACACAGATTTGATGTCTTAGAGAACATGCTGAGGGAGGCAAGGAAGAAACAAAATTCTCCTTTGTCTTCTGTGGCAGAACCAGGAAGGATGTGGGCTCTGAAGCAGTCCTGTCACATAAACAGCCTGTACAAGATCCCTTTGCCCAGGGCTTTAGTGTGCTCCATTTCACAGAGGAGTCTAGAAAGGTCCCACAGCTGGGAATAAGCATCACCAAGATTCATTTTAATTGCGCTACTCACGTCCTCCTTAAGGTTCCCCTTCTCCAGTTCCCCAGGTTCTGGCTGCTTCAAGTGTTGTCTGATGTCTTACCTGTTACGTTTTGTTGTATTTGCCTTTTTGTTTGGAACAGATTAAAAATAATGAACCCTTGATCAACGTGCTTTACAAAGTGCTGAAGAAGTCAGCACGGGGCTGTCGGCCCAGGAGAAGCGTAAGATGATCTGATCCGTGTCTCCGAGTGGGGCCATTCCATTGCTTCTAGCTCAGTGCCGGCTCCATCACTCGCTTAACCAGTTGCTCTCCTGATCGCCCCAGGCTTCCTGCAAGTCATTTCGGTTTATTTTCTTTAAATGAAGTTCTCTGCAGCATTGTGGCTGATGCACCAGGCTGAGCTGCTCATCTGTGGTGCTCTGTGACTCCCATCTTTTGTGCTGCCAGCGGGTGGGGAGCTTGCCTGGCTTGCCTCCAGCTTGTGTTGTGTTTCCATTCTCACTTGTCTGCCTCCATGGCAAGGGCTCATCTAGACAGGGTTGAGCATGAGTTTCTTGGGAGGGAACAGCAGTTACTAGTCCCTTGGAGGAGCCAGGGTATCCTCAAGAGTCCACCTTGGCCCTGGCCTCTTCTTGAGGGCAGGTAGATATTTGGATAACAATCTGGGGCTGGACTAGAGTAAAACCAGCCACCCCATACCCGCTTTGACTGACACAGAATAACCACAGACTACACCATGGCCAGCCTTCCAAGGGAGGCTGCAGGTTGGGGAGCAGGTGGCGTGTCCAGCCATTCTGGGCCCTGAGAAGGTGTGTTGGGATGTGGTGGAAGAGAGGTAAGATGCCTGGTGGGGGGCTTTGATTCCCCTCTTTTGCAAAGATTCTTTCCAATGGATGAGCACCATGAATGTTCACTTTTTCTGGTGACAGATACTGGGGTTTTGCACTGTTGATGTCTAAATGGATTTAAACATTGCCATCACAAAGCATAATTTTAAAAGGAAACTTAGCTTTAATATATTACATATGGATATAATATTTCTTAGTAGCCTCTGCTCTCTGAAATGGAACTAATTTCAGACACTTAAAGGGCCTCTGAGCTGTGTGAACAGGCATCAGGTAGCCCGTGCTCTGCAGCCTGTGGCCTTTACTCCATAGTAACAATCTACCTTATTTTGAAAAGTTCATGAACTCAATAAGTGAACATTTTCTGAATATTCTTAGTGTACTGGGCCCTGGCTGTGCTTTGGAGATTCAGAGAAAATCATCCCACTCTCCACAGTCACCCCTACTTAGGTTACCACATAGTGGGGAGAGTAGATGAGTAAGCAGAGCATTGTAATCTGATGTGCTGTGTATCACAGTCATGACGGACACAAGTGGGGTCAGGGGTGGGGTGAGACATCCTAAAGGGCACCAAGTCCAGTCAGAAGGGAGGGAAGAGATGTAAGTACTTTGCCTCTGTTGAGCTTTTAAGTTCTTTGAATCCCCTAACTCACAGTATCTTATAAGTGGCACATTAAAAAAGATGGAAATATATTTCTTAGAAAAGAGGGAGTGCTGATATCCCGAGAGAGAGAGAGAAAAAAAGGTTGAATGTATATTCAGTATTCTAGGAAGGCATTGAAGGGCATGCTTTTAGAGAGCTTCCTATCAAAAAGTTTAATTTAGAAGATTCAGCTTTTTCAAAATGCCTTTTTTGTGTGTTTGTAGAATATCTCATTTCTTTCCTGATAGTGCTAGATAAATGAGGCATTGCTCAATTAGATTCTCTGCCTTGTTATTTAAGTACCAAAAAGATATCCTTGGTAAAAATCTTCAATGAAATATGGGAAAGAATTTTGCTGGAGGGAAAAATCCCCAAAGCATATCTCAATTTGAAAGTGATTTCTACCTAGGAAATGAGTGAGAGTCAACCCCCTTGGAGAATAGACAAGTTCACTGTCCTCCACTTTGATGAAAGGGTTCTGAAGACCTCACCCACTTTCATCTGCATTTTCTCCTGGGTTCCCTGAGTTCAAAGCCCAAGTCCTGCCTAGGACATCCAGCAGTTTGTGGTTCACCAGGATTAATTCCATGCCCTTTCTTCTCGCCCATCTTAGGAGACACATGCTGTTTGTGGATTATTGTAGGTATCCATGTGTTCTATGACTATGTATGCATGTGTATGCACATAATCTGCCAGTTTGGGGACTCAAATTTGGCTGAGTTCTTCTCTTTCCAGGAACTTACACTGACCTACATGTTTCCCTTTGATCTACATGGAACTGGTTAAGCATTTTTAGTGCCTTCCATTGTGACAGGCCTTATGTTCAAGACTATATTGCAAAAAATAAGACTGGTCTTGGCCCAGAACTGTGTGACCAAAGGGATCATGAGAGAGGGGCGGGGAGCAGTTCTGCAGTCCAGAATCAATTCTCAGCTCAAGGCAAGAAGTCTTTTGACCTTGGCCTTAACTTTTAGGATTTATTGGTCATTCTCAGTAGTAGCATAGGACCCTTGGGCACACTTGAGCTCTAAGGAGAAGGATAGCTAGTATATAGCTCCCAATTCACATTCACTTGCTGGATCTCCCAAGTGGAGTGGGGAGAAAGCAAAGGCCCTCTCTCCAGCACCTGTCTGTGCATTCATGCTGGGACCGTCCCTCTGCACGGTGCATATACCACCTGTCTATGGTTAGTCCTGCCCTTAATTTCTCCTAGTCAGAACTGTGAAACATGTCAGAGAGATCATCTCCCATACATGAGGTTCATTAGGCCTTGCTATTCCTGACCTTGTCTTGGCCATGAATGCATCTGTGAAAAAGACACAGCCTGCACCCCTCTACAACTTTTGACAAGAAAGAAATTGGGAGGAAATGGAAGCTTGGGATATAAAGTTGGATTCAGCTTCTTGGGAGTCAGAAATGGGCAACATGCTGCACTCTTCAGGTTGAGTGAAGGACGGAAAATGTCAAACCTCTTTTACCCTTACATTTGGATGGCTTTGTTTTCCTTTCTTGAGAGGATGAGGAAGGTTGTAACTTTTCTATGGACACTTCTGAAAAGAGACCTAATAGAGAAAATATATGGAGTATTTAAGAGTTTCATCTCCTGAGCACCTGAGTCTAACTGCGGGTGTCAAAGCCTCTCCAAGGCTCAGGGCTGAAGACAGCATATAAAAGCTTTTTATTTTCTACAGACACTTCTGGAAAGAGACGAAGGTTATAACTTATGCAAGTACAACCTAGCCTCAATTATTCAGGGATCAACTATCCAGGTTCCTTCTTCTTTGGGCAGGTCTTTTTCTCAATTAGTTTAGGGTGTGCTGGCCTTACTCACAAGTAAGGAGGCTGCTCAGACTTCCTTAAACTGAGGCTTGACAATGCTCAGGGAATTTGATCCTCCTCGCCTGTTGACTCCACTACTGTAGGCTGGGGGGTGATGGACTTCTATAACTTGTGTCTGTTTCAGTAACAAACCTCAATTTTATCAGTGGCATACCTTCCAAGATTCATACTGACTTATCACACTCCTTTTGGGCAAGTATATGCTTTTAAAATTGATGATTGTGTAACTTGAACATCTGCATTTTCTTTAGTTTGAGAAATTTACAAGGATCACAAAAAGTTTTTAGTTTTTCCCTAAAATGAAATAGATATCAAGCAGATATTGCTTGAATTTTTGCCCCATTTGTGCCACGACCCTCTCCTGCCACTGCCCAGACTTTCACACCCTTCACTGTAGGGCTGACTTTCCTTCCGGAGTTCTGATTCTAAGAACCACAGTTAAGTCTTCTTTAATTGTTCACCTCCCAGATGACAGGCCGAGACCTTCTCAAGGATCGAAGTCTGAAGCCTATGAAGATCGCGGAGAGTGACATTGACGTGAGTGAGCAGAGTGACAGGCTGATCCCTCAGCTGCCTCCTGACCCAGACCCAGCAAGGGCAGCTTCCAGAAGGGTTTGGATGGTTCTGAAGCTAGAGGCTTTCTGCTCTCATCCCCAGGCCATGCCCTGTTCTCGTTCTCCCAGGCCCTCCCCAACCTTTTTTTGCTTATAGGTCAAACTGAGTGTCTTCTGTGAACAAGACAGGATCCTCCAGGACTTGGAAGATAAGATACGAGCCCTCAAGGAGAACAAAGTATGCATCAGTTTGCATAATCTTGGGATGAGTGGGGGGACATATTGTCACTGAGTTTTTCCTGAGACATTGACTGAACTCTCATTTTAGTATTGAACAACATGATTACTTTATCCACAACAGTGCCTTTGCTTTAAGTGATGCTTCTTTGAGGGTTTCTCCTCTCAGCCTATTTGTTCTAGATACCCTCACTCCTCCATTCTGCTCTGGCCCATCTCTCCCTGGAGGCCCTGAGAGATGAGCCTGGGAGAGGAGCTACACTGGCTTCTATGTGATGACCCAGGCATCTAGGCCCTAGGGAAGGGGCCTAGAGTTTTCCATCAACTCTTTCATTTATCTTCATACTTTACCCCATAAAGAGTTTGGTGGCTTTATGTCTATTTTATAGATGAGGAAACAGAAGCACAGAGCTGTTAGAATTTTGGGCCCTTCTATAGAATCAGGACTGGTATCAGATGCCCTGCCCCTCAGCCCACAGCTGGTGTCTTCAGCCTTAGTTAGATCCAGCAGCTTTCTTTGTTCCTGGTATGGAGAGGCCTCTGGGGGCTGTTTTCTCATCCTGTTGCTCTTCAACCCTTTCTGGTGTAGGACCAGCTAGAATCTGTGCTGGAGGTGTTGCACAGACAGATGGAGCAGTACCGAGACCAGCCCCAGCACCTGGAGAAGATTTCCTACCAGCAGAGGCTGCTGCAGGAAGACCTTGTCCACATCCGAGCTGAGCTGTCCAGAGAGTCCACTGTGCGTGGAGGGTGGGGAGGGAGGCAGACATTTCCCCTCAGAATGGGCAGGCCACGGGCTGCTGTTCTCATCTCCTCAGCGGAAGTTGAGGTGGTAGCCAGGGGAAAGTCTTGGAATAGAAAAACTTCTCCAGCCCACCTCTCTACAACAGCTTTTTTAGGGGTGACAAGTCTGTTTCCACCTGTGCCTTAGATTGTTTTCTGTCAGGGGCTTCCAGATGACTGAGGACACTCGAGAACCCAGATTACTCAGAGCAGCCTGTAGGCTGATCTGTGTGCAGTTAATTCTAGGCCATCATAATTTTCACGTTTTTGTTTCTGAGTCTGATGTGGGAGCAGGCCCTTCTGCAAGGAATTAAAGAGTTCCTGAATGGAAGAGGGAACAGTGCAGATGGCCAGGGTCAAGTAGCACATTTGTTCCTACTCTGGTCTCTATCCCACCAGACCTGCTGAAGGCCCATTGAGTCCCTTTCCCACTTTCCCTGACTGGGTCAGCTCAAGGTCAGGAGCTCAGGTGCTCTTGAGGCCACTTGGGAGGCCAGGGATAACTTGGAACAAGAAGCATTTCCTTGGCCAACAGGAGATGGAAAATGCCTGGAACGAGTACCTGAAGTTGGAGAGGGATGTGGCGCAGCTGAAGCAGACCCTGCAGGAGCAACACAGAAGAGCCTTTTTTTTCCAGGTGACCAAGGGCTGTTCATCCTTCTGACGTATGGTTGCCTCTGAGTCACTACCCCAGAACTTTCTCTTCTTTAGCCCTGTGAAGTGACCCCCTTAAGCTCTCCCTTGAGAGATCCCTTCCTTCAACTAGGCCATGATGAGAAGCCTTACCCAAGATCCCCTGCCTCTCTGCTCTCAGAGACAAACTCTTGTTTGTTTTGGAAGGGGTTTTCTTCTGGTCATTTGGAGAAGTAGACCAATACCAACCTGGAGCACTTTACAGAGATGGAGCTGTGAGAGTGATGTGTGTTTCCTTCTTGAGTTCCTGAGACAGATTAGACAGCAGCAGGAAGCCCCACCTGAGTCCTGCCTCGGATTCCTGAAGATAGATGCTATCATCCCTCTGCCTGGGGAGGAATATGACCAGTCCATTGAAGTGCCTCTGGTCTCCAGGCATTCATTTGCATTTCTGGAGGCCAGTCTGGGTGATACCTATCTTTGTGGCCCCTGCCTCACCTGGAAAGGTGACTTTAGAGCCTTGCCTCCTTACCTTAAAATCCAGGCCACCCCCATGGACAGTAGCCTCTGTCTCAACAAAGGTGAGACAATGAAAAGCCCAGTATGGTTTCTCTTCTTCCAGGTTGGGTCCCCCAGCTGCCCTTCTCAGATTGTGGTGCCCAACCAGGTTTCTACCCCACCCTTAATTTTTTTTTTCTTTTCTCTTCTCTTTTCTTTCTTGTGTGTGTGATGCTGGGAATTGAACCCAGGGCCTCACACTTGCCAGGCAAGCACTCTACCACTGAGCAACCTTCCCAACTCTACCCACCCTTACATTTTTAAAAACGGAAAATGACCTGCTTTCCAAATCAACTTCAGATCTCTATCTCCTTCTTTCAGGACTCTGACATAAATTCTGTTTATTGAATTCAGCAAGTATTCATAGAGGCTTTTTTTGTACCATATCATTCCAATTTTGTTGGGATGCTAATTGATGACTTAAGTCTACATTATACATACTAATTGAAGACTTAAGTATACATACCAATGAGGTACCATGTAATGTTTTGATACATGTATACATTTTATAAAATTTATAACAGGGTAAGCATGTCTGTCTCCTTCAATATTTATTATCCCTTTGTGGTAAAATATATGTGGTAAATTATATTTCTTCTTCTTCCTTTTTTTTGAGATTTATATTGTATTATTGCTACCTACTGTGATATTTGTCAACTTTTGAGATGTATCTCATTTCAACTCAGCAAGTCTACTCCTAGGAACCCATCTTAGAGAAATGCTTATGAATGAGTCTGAAAAGGCAGTTACATTCATGTGATTTAATGAATATGTGAACTCTAAAGAGTTTAGGCTTGTTGTGTCCTGAGACTTTTCCCTGGACTCCACTGTTCCCTGGAGACTTTTGCCTCTGACTCCAGGCTGGGGTATGTGGTTTTCCAGAACCTATCTGTCTCTTGTCCCCGCAACCTAACTTTCCTTCATCTATGCTAACATTTTCTTATGTTTTTTTCCCCCTCCCTCCCTCCCTCCCTCCCTCCCTTCCCTGAACTTCAATGATCCATGCTGATTTTAGCAGGAATTTTTTTTTAGCTTTTATAGTTCTATTCATATTTTTCTATAATTATACAAATCATACATGAATATATTTTTCAGAAAAATTCAAACAATGAGAAGCAAAAACGTAATGATAAAAAAAATCTCCTCTCTCTGTGTTCTACCCCACTCCTCTCACCCTCCCCGCATGTAGTCAGGGCTGCCAGTTTGTGGTGTTCTCTTTCTGCTCATTTTGTGTGCATTTATCAGCATATGTGTCTACATAGAATCATACTATTTATTTGGGTTTGGGAGCAAGTAAAAGATTCACTTTAAGAGGTTCACACATACCATTTGGTGACTTCCTTTTTATTATAACTTTATGTTGCGGAAATCTTTCTAGGAATGATGCTCTCAAGTTTATGATATTTGTATCTAAATTAATTACCACTAAAATTAAAAATGAATTCTCCATTTATACTAGACTCATCCCACGTGCTCAGAAACCGTCATAGTGGATAACACAGATTACAGAAGAATTCCAGAATCTTAGAAAGTTGTATGGGACAGCAAGAATCTAAGTAAAGTAAAGTAAATTAGTTCTTGATTGCAACATACTATTTCATAGCCTAGGTATTCCCTACTTTATTTAGCCATTGCTCTCCTGGTGGGCATTTAAGTGATTTCTAGCATTTTGCTTTTGTAAATGGTGCTGTCATGAACATACTTGTAATTGCCTTTTCAGACTCATTCATAAGCATTTCTCTAAGATAGGTTCTTAGGAGTAGACTTGCTAAGTTGAAATGAGACACATCTCACAAGTTGACAAATATCACAGTAGGTAGCAATAATACAAATATACATCTCAAAAAAAGGAGGAAGAAAAAAAATTATTTCACATATTTTACCACAAAGGGATAATAAATATTGGAGGAGACAGATATGTTTACCCTGATATAAACTTTATAAAATGTATACATGTATCAAAACATTACATGGACCTCATTAGTATGTATAATTTTAATGTTTTTATGTATCAGTAAGAAATTTTTTTTTTTTTTGTACCAGGGATTGAACTCAGGGGCACTCAACCACTGAGCCACATCCACAGCCCTATTTTGTATTTTATTTAGAGACAGGGTGTCAGTGAGTTGCTTAGTGCCTCACTTTTGCTGAGACTGGCTTTGAACCCCCTCCTGCTTCAGCCTCCTGAGCTGCTGGGATTACAGGCATGCACCACAGTCACAAGTATTTTTTTTTTTTAAATATTTATTTATTTTTGTTTTTTAGTTATTGGCAGACACAACATCTTTGTTTGTATGTGGTGCTGAGGATCGAACCCGGGCCGCACGCATGCCAGGCGAGCGTGCTACCGCTTGAGCCACATCTCCAGCCCCGTCACAAGTATTTTTAAATACAAAAAAGTTAATAAATATTGCCAAATTGCCCTCTAAAAGACTGCACTAATTTACTCTCCCATTCACATGACTGAGAACGCTGAGTCTGTTTGCTGTATCCTGGCCAGCTCTTGATGTTATCAGTCTTTTAAATTTTTGCCAGTCTGTTTGCTAAAAAATGACATCTTGCTTTAATTTACATTTATTTAATTAGTGGTAAGTTAAACTGTGTGTGTGTCTTTGTGTGTGTTTTACTAGGGATTGAATCCAGGGGTGCTCTACCACTGAGCTATATCCTCAGTCCTTTTTAAAAAAATATATTTTTTTAGCTATATTGGGCACAATACCTTTATTTTACTTGTTTATTTTTATGTGGTGCTGAGGATCAAACCCAGTGCCTCACACATGCTAGGCGAGCGCTCTACCACTGAGCCCCAGCCTCAGCCTCTTTTCTTATTTTTTGAGACAGAGTCTCTCAAATGCTCAGGCTAGTCTTGAACTTGTAATCTTCCTGCCTCAGTCTCCCAAATAGTTGGTATTACAGGCTTATACCACCACTCTAGGCTTAAGTTAAACATTTTTAAATATGATTATTGGGTATTTGTGTTCCTACTGTGCTTTATTTCATAGTGATTAAATACATAATAGACTCAGAATCATTTTTCCCCTCTAAAACATGAATCTGCAGAGTAAAATAGATCTTGTTACAAACTACCTGGAGAATTGATTCCTTTAACTTTCTAGCAGATGGACAAGCCTATGGCTTTATGTTAATGTTGCTCCATGGCATTGCTCAGGCTTTCTGAGTGCTTCAATGACCTAGGAGTCATAAGCCCTGTTTGATCAGGCTCTGTGCTAGGCTCTTTGTGTAATCCTAGGCCAGGCAGGCTGTTAAAGCCCTAGACAAATCATGAACACTGGGGGTATGCTTGCAACCCATCTGCAACTTCTCAGTAATGGCTTGGAAATTCATCTCTGTTAACCTGGTTTGGCTGTGAGAAAGTTCATAATCCTTTCAGTGAAGTGGGTAGCTTTATTTGTAAAGGTCTTCATGGCCGCCTAGTCATCAGGAAAACCAAGGGATAGAATACCCAGGGAACAGTGTGGCAAGAAGCCGTGATAGGTGAGGCTACCTATAGGTGTTCCCATCCCGACCCTGGACAGGGAGTCCAAACCTGTGCTGACAGCCTTCCACCCATGGGGTATAAGGATACAGGAATAAAACCCTACCTCCTTGCTCCCCAAAGCTCCCCCACACCTCATTGTTAAGTTACAAAATTCCATCACTCTTGGAGAAAGAGACTGTCTGGCCTTTGCTCCTCCCTGCTCTTTTACATGTAGAAATGTCAGAAAGGCAAAAGGGATAGGAGAATGGGCTGACAGGAGTGCATTGCTTGAGAGCTAAGGAGAAGGAAGAAGAGAAATGTTTTCCCTTTTACTTTTTCTAAGCACTCAGCTTGGGGACTTCAATTCTGGAGACCACCCCTGTTAACTTACATACTGTAAGGGCAGCAGTGCGCCTGCCTTTTTCAGGATGGTACTTGAGTGTGGGGCTGAGTTCCAAGCCTGTTCCTTGCTTGTCAGCCCCGAGGGTACACTTTGCTGTTGGGACAAGGAGAATGGAAGCATGAGCCCTCTTGGCACAGGAGCCTTTGGACATCTGCTGTCATAGCTGTTGGAAAGTATTTGACTTGAGGATTTTACATGAAGATTAACTGAGGATTTTACATTTTCACTCAATGTATATGCACTGAAAACCTGCTAAGTACCAGACCCTATGAGGGAGCTAGGAGTACACAATCTAGTTGTGGAATTGGGCAGGTTGGTAAGTATCATGTAGTATGAGAACTCTTCYGGTTGAAGGGCATCCAGGAACCTTGAGAGGAGATGGGGGGTGTGAAACTTGCTTTTCGTCTTGTCCGTCGAGTGGGACCAAGTCTGTCTGCCCTCCATTGTAACTTAAAAATCAAAAGAATACTACATCTGGGTTGGGGTGCAGCTCAGTTGCAGTGCTTGCCAAGTATGTGTGATGTCCTTTGCTCAATCTACAGGACCACAAAAAAACTACATCTGAAGTTTACACAACCCCATTAGAAGATGGCCACAACCCCTTAACCACGTCAGGCCCCTCTTCATCTCCTTTAGGTCCTCATCCTATCCAATCTTGCTTGTAATTTGTGCATATGATCATACAGCATAGCTCTTTTCCCATTGTACTTTTTTATTTAAAAAAAAGTTTTACCATATTATAATCTATATACCACAAAATTCACTTTTTTTTTTTTTTTGGTACCAGGGATTGAACCCAGGGGTGCTTAACCACTGAGCCACACTCCCAGCCCTTTTTTGTATTTTGTTTAGAGACAGGGTCTCAATGAATTGCTTAGGGTTGGTTTTGTTAAGTTGCTGAGGCTGGATTTGAATTAGGGGATCCTCCTGCCTCAGCCTCCCAGTTGCTGGGATTACAGGAGTGTACCACCGCACCCAGAAAAATTTGCCTTTTTAAGTGTACAACTCAGTGTATTTTGTGTATTCATAGTATTGTGCAGCTGTCAGCACAATTTTATAACATTTTCATCACCTCTCAATAGTAGCCCTGTGCCCACTGTCATTCCCTATCTCCCCAGTTCCCTACTCCACCCTCGTCAACTTTAATCCACTTTCTGTCTCTATGGCTTTGCCTATTCTTTACATTTTACATAAAAGAAACATATAACATGGCATTTTGTGCCTGGCTTCTTTTCCTTAGTGTAGTGTTTTTAGAGTTCATCCACGTTGTGGCACGTATCAGTACTTCAACACTTTTTATGGCCAAATAATATCCCATTGCCCATTGTACTTCTAACTAAGCTTCAAATCCCAGGATTCTGCTCTGATTTTAAAAAGAAAAGTTAAGGGGTTGGGGTGGTGGCTTAGTGGTAGAGGACTTAACTAGCACACATGAGGCACTGGGTTCAATCCTCAGCACCACATAAAAATGAAATAAAGATATTGTGTTCACCTACAACTAAAAAAAAATAATTTTTTTTTTAAAAAGAAAAGTTAATATTCTAGAGGTAATTTAACCTCCAGTCCTTGCCTTCCCTCCTCTGCTGCTATGGTTGCATAAGACAGTATATATATATATATATAGCTAAACTATACAAACACAAATTTTTTTATCCTAACCATTTTTTAATTGATTAATTTATTGGCACTGGGGAGTGAACTCAGGGATGCTTAACCACTGAACAACATCCCCAGCCCTTTTTATTTTTTATTTTGAGACAGGCTCTTGCTAAGTTGCTTAGGGTCTCGCTATTCAAGATACTCCTGCCTCAGCTTCCTGAGCCACTGGGAATTCACGCATGCACTACCCATGCATGGCCATCCTAATGATTTTTAAGAGTACAGCTCTATATTGTTAAGTACATTCACACTGCTGTTCACCCATCTCCAGAACTTTACACTTGAACAAAAGTATTAAACAGCTCCCCATCCTCCCTTTCCCCACTCCCGGCAGCCACTATTCTACTTCCTGTCTCTATGAAATTAACTACTCTAGATACTTCACTCAGTATTTAAATGGAATCCTATAATATTTACAACAGTCTATTTTTAAATTAGGTAGAAATAGGCAAACTGAACTGGTGAAAGCTATTCCAGAATTTCTCCCTAGACCTTGATCCACTTCCCTAGGAGGCTGTGAACAGGCTTGACCCTAGTCCTGGTACAGTTTCTAAAGCAGGTGCTGCTCCTCAGGGGGAGGGACTGTATGAAATGGCAAGATAAATCCTAAGAAGAAAATTCTGGTAAGGAGCTAAGAAGGCAATGAACCACCTGCTTGCCTTCCTCAGGAGAAATCACAGATACAGAAGGATCTGTGGAGGATCGAAGATGTCCTTGCAGGCCTGAGCGCAAATAAAGAGAACTATAGAATCCTGGTGGAATCTGTCAAAAATCCAGGTGAGGAGCATCTCCCTGGGTGTGGGGAATGGGTGGGGGGGGGATGGCAGTGGAGGTGCAGATCTTTGTGGTACTATCATTCCACTGGTCCCCCGAAGAGTAGCATCTTTATTCCATCCCATGATTATTTCCCTCCATGTCCCTTAGAGAGGAAAACGGTGCCTTTGTTCCCTCACCCGCCTGTGCCTTCACTCTCCACTTCTGAGAGCAAGCCACCCCTGCAGCCCAGCCCTCCCACCAGCCCTGTGCGGACCCCTTTGGAGGTTCGCCTCTTCCCGCAGCTGCAGACCTATGTGCCGTACCGACCTCACCCACCCCAACTGAGGAAAGTGACATCCCCCCTTCAGTCACCAACTAAGACAAAGCCCAAAGTGGTAAGTTCTGGTGACTGGGAGCTGAGTGTCTTGTTTTCCTCTCTGGCTGTTGACTGCCCTTCTCTGTCCTCAGATCACCTTATCTTAGGAGAGAGGTTCTACAGAAAACCTGAGGACACAGAAACCCACTGGAGTCCTTGGTCCTGAGCAGTTAAGGAGTTGTATTTACCCTGCTCTTGTGCCTTTGTCTCTTGGGACTGGCAGGGTTCTGAGGGATAGTCTAGCCCAACCCTCCCATTTTGCAGTTGGAAAAATTTAGGCCCAGCAAGAAGTGACTGGACTGAGTGGGGTGGAATTTGTGATCTGCACCGTGTAGAGGGTTGTGTGGCTGTTGGTGAGGCTGTCCGCACACAGGGTCCGAGGAGGCCTGCAGAGGCTTGACTGCAGTTACACAGCCTGGATTGGGCAAGGAGCTCCTTCCAGCAAGAGTATCTTTATTCCCACCCCCAAGTTGAGCACTGTGCTGGTCTGTGAGGTTGCATGTAGCCTCATAGGGTATGGACAGGAAAGACAGTATCCCCATCCCATAGAGAAGAAAACTAAAGCCCCAGGGTGTTGAAACTCGCCAAAGGTCTCCATATTAGATATTAAAGCTAGCATCTTTGTACTCTTCTGTTTTATTCTGGACCCCCAGCCCAGGTCCTTGGGTCAAGTCTGTGGCCCGTGTGGGGTAGCGTGCACCAACACCTTGGTTTGCTTGGCATAGAGAGGAGCCAAGCTCTTGGCAAGATCTGGGAACACGGGAGATTTTAAAGAAATAGAAGATGTGGTCAGGTGCCATGATACTCTACCTCTACAACAAGGCCAGCCTTGTGTGGAGAACAAAAGGGGTCTGACCCAAAGGCAGGGAAGCCAGAGCTGAAGGGACCTTGGCATGTGGGGCTCCTGGTTTTTGCCAACAAAGGTTTGCAGGAGCCTTGCCCAGGGCTTCTGATTAGGTTGACACACAGTGCTGGGAAAGCACAGGCATTCCCTGGACCTCACCGTTCAACTGCTTCCCTCTGTGGCCTGTGACCCAGAATTAGATGCAGGTGTGGCCTGTGACCCATTCAGAGTCACTATGAATTTTCCCATTTTGAGATCTCCTTCATAGTCCTAGATCTAAGAAGCAGATTGGAGCACCAACCATAAAATACCAAAACAGAGAGCAGATGGCTTTTGATGTACAGCAGGGTGCCCATCATCTGGGTCGAGGAATAGGAGGGAAAGGTACAACCTGGGAGCTCGGATGCCTGGAGTCTGGTCCTTGTTCTCTCTCTGTGTCCTTGGGTATGTCCATCCTTTTTCTGAGCTTCAGTTTCCCTTGAGTAGACAATCACAGAGACTTCTCACAGTTGGTCCTCTATGGCTCCTGGGCAGGGCTGTTTCTGCTCAGGTGAGCATCAGGGTCACTGGGGGTCTTTTCTCCTTGTTGTAGTACATGTGGGCTTACCAGTGTTAGCACTTACGTTGCATATGCTGATTTTTAACATCTTGAAAATAACATAGAACAAGAAAATATAATTAAACAACAATGAAGAGACCACTCATGTTATACTAACATCTGGACTAACAAATAGAACTTTGCCCACAAACTTTCAAGGAGTCTTTAGACTTGTAGGCCCCTTTCAGTTCCAGGCCCCTCCCTTTCTGCCAGAAGTAACCATGATCCTAATTTATGTATAATATTCCCTGGCTTTTTTCTTTTAGTTTGACCATCTGTGTTTTCATATCTAAGCACTTTAATTATGCTGGTATGTAACACTGAACTGCCTTTCATCTTGCATTTTTTCAACAATATCATCCACATCGTTGCGTTTAGCTATAGGTCTTTCACTTTTATTTGGCTTCTTTTATTGAATTTAATGTCATTTTTAAATTAGATAATCCCAAAAGAGTGTAAAACCAAAAGATATTTTCTAAATATATGATAAATCATCTCCCTCCCACACTCTGTTTCTGTAGACATTCTGTTCTCTTCAATCATAGGCAGTCAGTGTTTTGTGCATATCTTCCTGAAGAGCTTTGTAAAAATTGGTGATCCCCATGTCTTGTCAAGGTTGGAAACTGCTGATTCTCAGAGAATTAGTGGGTATCTTAAGTAGTTTACTTTCTACACATCAGTGAAGTGTGTTGCTTTAAAGAATTCTGGTAAATCTTTGCAAAGCAAGCTTGGACTGAACCCTTTCCTGAACTCTGCAAAAATCTGAAAAACAAAGCCAAATGAGGCTAAGAAAAGATGAATATAGGAAGAGGGAGGCGAGGTGGTCATTAGTGGGTATGCATGGTAGTCGGGGGCCAGTCTGCAGATGTGGAGAGGAGCCACAACCCTCAGAAAGCACTGTGAACAAGGAGTTTCAAGGAAAATAGTCACATTTGTAACATCCCAGGGTGGGCAGTGAGTTACTCATCCTATGACTGACTCTTGTGTCTGGAATCAGGAATGAGGAAATAGTTTGTAACCATGCACATTTCTGAGAGAAAGGGCAAGAAGTGGTAGACTCTGTTCTTGCTCAGATCRTTGCCCTGTTGAAGGATCCAGAGTCTGTGCAGGAGCAGTGGGCCAGCTAAGGCTTAGCACAGTGGGGTGGAGAACGTGTTTGTTCTGCAGGGTGGGTACTGTCATCAGCTTAGAAATGACACAGAGTGGGGCTGAGGCTGTAGCTCAGTGGTAAAGTGCTTGCCTAGCACATGTGAGGCACTGGGTTCAATCCCCAGCACCACATAAAAACAAATAAAGATACTGTGTGTTCATCTACAACTAAATAAATATTTAAAAAAGAAAAAGAAATGACACAGAGTTAGCAGCCTGCCTTCTTGCGGTACATGCCAAAGAACTGGAGTAGACAGTTTGGTTCAATGCCAAGCACAGAACCAGGAGCCTATGTCTTGGATTTGGGGACACAGTACATACAGATAACACTTTGAAAAATAGAAAATGTATGAGTCAAAGGGAAGAATAAAGTTGGAGCAGAGGCACATCCCCTCTTCACAGCTTCTCCAGAGGAAATGTTCACGCTCTGTTCTGTCTCTGAAGTTTCAGCTCGCTAGGTCACCAGTGTGGCATTGCCACTCAGCAGTCCTCCCTCCAGCTCCGTTCCACTGGGCACTGATTCTGGTTCTTTTTCCAACCAGGAAGAGGAGGCACCTCCGAGACCCCCACTCCCTGAACTATACAGCCCAGAAGACCAGCCTCCAGCTGTGCCACCTCTGCCAAGAGAGGCCACTATCATCCGACACACTTCTGTGCGGGGCCTCAAGCGGCAGTCGGATGAGAGGAAGCGAGACCGAGAGCTGGGGCAGTGTGTGAATGGGGACTCACGGGTGAGCTAGAAGGACCCCTGAGGTTGTCCACTGAGAGTGGGGAGAGGAAAGGTGATGTGATGCTGGGCAGGTATGACAGTGTTACACTGCTCACAGGTGGAGCTGCGGTCATACGTTAGTGAGCCCGAGCTGGCCACCCTCAGTGGGGACATGACTCAGCCCTCCCTGGGACTTGAGGGACCTGAGAGCAGGTACCAGACACTGCCAGGCAGAGGTAAGGCAAGACCCTCTACAGAATCTTTGGGGGGAATCCCACCACACACTGCTTCCACCCCTCAGCCCATAGCTGCCTGCAGCGTTAGGCCAAGGCTTGGGTTGATGAAAGCAAGGACCTGGTTTCCCTTCCTCTCACTTATATCCCGATTCTCTTCCTCTTTTCTTTTATTTTTTAAAAATATTTTTAGTTATAGATGAACATAATACCTTTATTTTGTTTATTTAATGTTTTTTATGTGGTACTAAGGATTGAACCCAGTGCCTCACCTATGCTTTATCACTGAGCCACAATCCCAGCCCCTCTTCCTCTTTTATTATATCTGTCACTGGAAACAACGATAATAGCAATTACTATAAAACTCAAGACTGTTTAAGTACTTTATATAGACCTCATACTCACAGTGCTGTGAGGGAATTGCTACTTCCCACTTTAGAACTTGGGAAAACTAAGGCTGAGAGAAGTTAAATAACTTGCCAGTTAGCTATTGGTGAGGGAGTCAGAAGACAATCCCAGGGCTCTGACCTACAGGTTGGGGTGCTGGGCTGTTGCCACCAGCAAGCTAACTCAGGCCCTCCAGAGGGGTTTCTCCTCTTGCGCCACCCTAAGACTCAATCTTTTCTTAAACACTGTCTCAGGTGGAACCCCTCTTTCTGCCCTCCTTATCCCGAGTTGGGTAGTGCAGGATGCGTGAGAATGCAGCAGGAGGCAGGGGGTGGAGGGCACTGGCACCTTCTACCCACACAGCCCAGGGCTCCTGCAAGGAAGGGATGCCTAGAGTGGTTCACAGATCTGCAAGGAGTCTGTCCCTTGTTGGGGACAGAGGGCACCTCTGGACTGACCCACGTCCTCTATCTAGGGCCTTGCTCTAAGGAGAATGAAGGAAAAGTTGAATGGGCTGTTGGCTGGGCCCTCTTGGTCCCTCATGGGAGTGGGGATGATTAGGGAAGGGCCAACGACTGTCTACCTCACCACAAATATGCTTGACTCCTCTTTCTTCATAAAGGGCTCTCAGGGTCCACATCAAGGCTCCAGCAGTCGTCCACCATCGCTCCCTATGTCACGCTCCGGAGGGGTCTAAATGCTGAAAACAGCAAGGTGACTTTTCTTGTGAGTGATCTTGAGCTGGACATTGACTAGCAATTCTATGAGCACTAAGAATAGCCTCTGAGGTGACCTCAGCCCCTTGGGAGTTCAGGGTCCTGTCACCCACTGCCTGTCAAGAAAGCCCTGCCTCTCTATTTTCTGAGGACCCTCATTTTCATCTCCAGTCTTGCAGGGTCGTGGGAGGGAACCCAAGAAATATGCATCCTGGTGAGCTGCATATGTGTCCAACTGGACAGGCCTGGGCCTCAGTGTTTGCATGTGCAGAATGGGGTGCTGCCCAGAAAGGTGGTGAGGACCATTATGATGCTTAGAGAGAGTGGATCTCATAGCCAAGAGGAGTCCAACCAGAGAGTGTGAGAAACTAAGAAAAGGAATGAACTCAGAAGGGCGGCTGCCCTCTGTGTTCCCAGCCCAGCTGCTCTGTGTCTCTCACTTCCTCCTCCTCAGAGACCCAAGAGTGCCTTGGAGCGCCTGTACTCAGGGGACCACCAGCGGGGCAAGATGAGTGCAGAGGAGCAGCTTGAGCGCATGAAGCGGCACCAGAAGGCCCTGGTCCGGGAGCGCAAGAAGACACTGAGCCAAGGAGAAAGGGCGGGCCTGCCCTCATCCCGCTACCTATACCAGCCTCTCCCTGGAGATCTTGGCTCAGTATGTTAGGCAGGCGGGGCTGGGACAGGGAGCAGAGCTTTCCCTCGAACTGAGCACAGCTTCTCCAAGTTCCCCAAACACAAGCACGACACGCCCATGAGTGAGTGGGCTGTTCACTAACGTAGATGGTTGAGAGAACATCCCATGGGGCTATTTGTCCTCGACCCTGTCTACATGTGTGAGCTGGTCAAAGGGTGACCTGGAACTGGAGCAGGAAAGAGGATCCCACATCAGAGTTCCAGGAGTGTGAGAAAATATCCAGTCAGTTTTCTAAGCTAAGCACGAGAGAGGCTTTTGCAGGCATTCAGATCTTTCAGCTGAATTAAGGACTTGGGAATTTGGAGTTTAAGGAGTTGAGGAGGAAGATGGCGATATGATTTGAGGAGAAGTGCAAGCGAACCAACCAGCCTCCCAATTTTCCAAACAGATGTTGGAGGAAAGGAAGTCAGCTGACCAAGGGTTGGTGGCCCACAATCTCAAAGGGGTGGTCTCCTGCAGCATATGGTGCTGAGAGGCCTCAGGATGCCCAGGAGAGCCAGGGGATTGGTGCTGCCCCTGGTGGTGCTCACTGGCACTGCATCCTGCCCAGTGTCGCCTTAGGTCCCTTTTGGAAACATTTTATATAACTTTTCTGTTTGAAATCCCATGTTTCCCTAGACCTCTAGCCTGACTGGTCTTTCCCTAATTCATTGCACAAGCTCTTTTGCTTTTAGTGTTACCGCTCATTACCTCTCTAATCCTGCCTGATTGTGTTTACAGAAGCTTCTGATTTGTAAAGAACATTGTCTAACTGGCCTGTGCTCTTTGTTACCAGGCTTGTAATAGCCTCTGTTGTTTCCCTAGCTTAGAAAGCACCCCCAGATGTCACTCACCTTTCTGTTGCCCTCCTTTGTGCAGGTCTACTGACTCTAAAGCTGCCCCACAGCTTGAGCCAACCTGTTGCCTGAGGACCACAGTCATTGGCAGAGGTCTGGGCATTATGAATTTATCAAAATCCATGCCTTACACCTGGACAGTAGACATGGACTTCAGAGATTGTATGTTTGAATAAGTGCTACCAAATCTGAGGTTGTTCGGTTTTAACTCCTTCAGTTCTATCACATAATTTCTTGTGGAAAACCTTTTGTGTTTCTAATATTTAATAACTTGAATTGATAGCAAAATAAACTATGTATTCAGAGGAACTCTCTGCAGCTATTAGCTCAGATACCAAAGGGATAAGACCCAGGACAGTCAAACCTTTAAAAGCTGCAAACCCGGTAACTTCTAAACTTCATAAGCAAATGTCATATGGGCTAATACTGACTTTTTACAACCTGATGTCTCAAATGTAGAGATTATCTAAAACTCATAAGTTGAATACCTTGTAATTTTTCTCTTAAGACTTGTGTAAGTCTCTGCATCAGCGCCAATAAACGTGTTGCCTAATAACAATGGATTGGCGTGGTTCTTCCCTAGGGTACTCTCTAGAGTGTAGTGGACTTTTCCTGTTTGTGGAAACAATCAGGCCGGGTTTAAATGAGGACTTGTCTCTATTTGGAGAACTTGTGAGCGTGTAAGAGAATGTGCATTTTCTTTTTGAATCATTAAAATAATTCATCCCTGAACTTCAGCTACCTAATCCTGTAATTGGAAAACCATCACCCAAGGGTGATGACATAGTTTGGAGTCAGAACTGAGAGCTTGTGCATGAATGGGTGAAATGTGCTGATATGGCTATGGGTTTGGGGTTTGGAACAACTTGAGGGCCATGACTGCGTAGGGCTCTGAGGTGGGTGGATTGGGAGGAGGAGATGACCTGGGATGGGTAAGTACCTTCTTTGTTCCTGCTCAAGAGAAGAGAGGCTTTGAGCCTGCTCTGTTTTCAACAACCTGCTCAGCAGTCAGAGGCCTGTGAGGACACAGGCCCAGGGTGAACAGGGAACCACCACAGAATTGAGCAGTTGTGCTTGAATCTTAAAATGGTTGGATTACATTTTCTCTTTTATGAAGAGTTCCTTGTTACAAAGTTGATGCTGTGAAACAGCCTTGGAATTATTACATTTGATTTAGCACTTCAATTATACATAATTTAGTCTAAAGAAAGTGCCTCTTCCAAATACTGTCATACAACTGTCAGACAACCACAGTTTGTCTGCTTCACTGGGTCCAACCTGTTCCTTCTTGGACTTCCTCAGCCCTGCTGTGGGTACAGTATCCCCCACCCCAAATGGATCCTGTTGGGAATACCTTATAGGCTTTTGGTTATTCTACTTGCTTAGCAAGACCCTAAAGGCTTGTTTTATACATTGTTTCTGAACCTGGGACATAAGGCTTCTGAACCCAAAAGGCCTATCACCTGTGGGGCAGCACACAAGCCAAATCTACCATCGGAAGCTCTGTTCCAGGTTCTCTTTGGGGGTCTTGCTCTCAGACGTGGGAGCATTCAATATCCCTGGGGACCATCACAAACTTACATTGCCCACAGAAAGCATGTTTGAACTCTGGGGGTCCCAGATCAGAGAGCAATCAGCAATGTGAAATGGGCCATGTGAAGGAAAGAAGGACCTTGTTCTCCATTACATACAGAGTTACAGCACAGTACTTTTCCCTGATGGGTCACAGATCCATCTTCCCAAGGGCCCCATGCCTGAAGGACTCATTCAAAAGTGGACCAACAAGTCTCTCAGCAGTCAGGAAGTGACTGCAATTAACCTTCTTATTCTGTTGCCAGTGGAAGCGAGAGCAGGACTTTGACCTGCAGTTACTGGACCGAGCCATGCAAGGGGAAAGAAAAGACAAGGAGGAGAATGGCTGGTTGAAAGTGCAGGCCCTGCCTGTCACAGAATTGGACCTGGAACCTCAAGACTATGACTTGGACATCAGCAGAGAGGTGAGGGCAGGGGCTCCCTTCATGTCCCCCACCCCCCACACAAGGAGGCATGGCCTTTGGACTGCCATCCTGATCAACCCTCCCACCAAGGGTATGTCCTGAATGGAGACAAGATTTGGCTTCACTTTGGCCCAAGAGAATGAATGGATAGCAGCTTGAAGCAATAAAAGGAACCTAGGGGGCTGGGGATGTGGCTCAAGTGGTAGCGCGCTCGCCTGGCATGCGTGCGGCCCGGGTTCTATCCTCAGCACCACATACCAACAAAGATGTTGTGTCCRCCAAGAACTAAAAAATAAATATTAAAAATTCTCTCTSTCTCTCTCTCCTCTCTCACTCTCTCTCTAAAAAAAAAAAAAAAAAAAAAAGGAACCTAGGTGTTTTGATGTAATTTGGGACAAATTATAATAGTAACTTCTCAATCCTCATTAATAAAGTGGGATTAAGCAACTCAATATAATTCCTAGGAGGTTTGGCAGTGATCAGAAAGCCTGACACACAGTATATTTGTTGAGACAGTAGATGCTATTGTTAGAAAGGGTCCCCTAGAATACCAAGAGTTAACCTTGTAACTGTCCAGCCAGCTGACTTGTGTTGTCAGACTGAGGGGAAAACATGGGACAGGTTTGAAAATCACCTTGAAATTTCCAGCCAGGATAAAAGTGAGGAGATGGTGCCTAATAGCTCTGGTCTGAATTCCTCTGTCGCCCTCTTGTGGCATGTATGTATCATGACAGGGCAGGCCTAGGAAAGCAAGTAACCACCTCTATCCCAGGGAAAAGAAAGGGGCAGGAGATGACAGTCTGGGTCTTCTAGACATTCATGGTCTCCTGTGGCCTGTATTGTGCCATCTGTAAGCTCTCCAGTGTAGTGTCTATGACTTCTTGACTCACCTTTGTATCCTTAGCACCATGTCAGCACCCAGTAAGTGCTCTGTAAATATTTACTGAAGGAAGACTTTGTTGAATGAATCACCGTGGCCCATAAATGTCAAGAAAACATTTTTACAAAGACTTGGCCTGCCCTGAAACTGCATGAGGGGAAGTGTTCTCACCACATGACGGATGGATTTGGTTTTAATAAACATCCCCCACAGGTTTGTCTGGTCTGAGAATGAGTGCCAAAGGGGAGCTATGCCTCCAGGTACCTTCCTCCTGTTTTTAAGAGGCATCACCAGACCACTCACAAGCTGATTTTGCCAGTAGGATCTACCTGACTTGATTGGTTAGGCACTCATGGGGGCTTTGAGAACAAAGGAGCTTTATGTGGGCAAATAGGTGCTTATGGAGTTACTGGGTTCTGGGAGTCAGCTGGGACTTCAGGGGTTAACAAAGCTTGGTCATCTGCCCCTTGACCTTTTTTTTTGGCTGCTGAAATACCAGAGATCTTTACTTTCTCAGATTCACAAAGAAGCCTCCACGTGCTGTCTTGGCAGTACACGTGTGCACTATAGCGTCCTAATTTGCTGGTCAGTCCAGGGAAAAAAATCCTTCCTTATCTCTAACCCAAATCCCTCCTGCTACAATGTAATCTACTTCCTTCCTCTAGATCTGTCCTCATTGGAAATAACAGAGAAGAGCTTATTTCTTGCCATCTTTCAGCAAAATGCAAGGGCTACGTGAGTTTAAATCTGTTGGCCGTGAATAAAATCAGCCAAGTTGAGAACCAAAAAAAAAAAAAAAAACCTACTTTGGGGCTAATTAGAATTATAGTCCAGGAAAACAAGATTCAAGCATTCTTGAAAGTATGTTCTGAGGTTTTACAAAATGATGGTTACATTTGTAGCATTAAACCACAAGGGGGTTAGGAATTATGATTGTTGCTGACAAAAATTAAGCTTTCTTATAAGAAAGGGATTGGATGCAGTCTGAGTCTGGATGGTTTGTGGGGAGGGATCTGTTGTACAGAATGTCATCAGCTATTAGTATTTCAAAGATAAGCTCACCTCTAGGTGGGCATGTTTGCAGCTCAGTTCAAAGGATCTATTGCAGACAAATCTGAGATCTGATTAACAGGGGCCTCCTGACTCCATTTTAAGTGTGCTGATCCAATGATATTCCATTTTTATTTTCTTTTTCCTCCATAAATCCAAAATTAGATTTGTCCTAGGATCAGATTTAACTTGTTTTAGGGGAGCTTCAATCAACCCCATTTTAATAAGGGCCTGCAAAATTTGCCTTTAGTGTTCTTAATCCTGAGCATTATTTTACCAAATTGAGTTGGTCACTGGGTGAATTAAATACTTTGAGGGTTGGGGGTAGGTCTGTTTCCTTCTTGGAAAGCAGCAGATACAGTATAGCTGCCTCCTATCTAGATCAGAAGAACTTTTGTAGAACAGAAACCACTGTCACTTTCTTACATCCATCTCTCCATCCATCCATTCATCCATCTGCCCCATCATCCATTCAAAGAGGATTGATGAAGGACTACTTGAGTGCCAGTCCCTGCATTAGACAGTGAGAGACAGTGATAAACAGAAAATGAGAGTAATGGAGGTTAGAAGAAGGACTGGGGAAGGGATTGGGGTGGGGTTGAAGGATGAGAGTCAGTGAAGCAAAAGAGGAGCATCCCAGTCAGGCGAAGAGCAGAAAGAAAGGCCCCACTGTTGGAGCGGCCCTTAAGGAACTGCTGGGTCAGTGTGGCTGGAGAAGTCACAGGGGCCAGATCACTAAGGCCTTGAGGGCAGCCCTAAGGATTATCATTTTTCTCTTAAAAGCTTTCAATGGGCGTTTGGCCTTGCCTTTCTCTTTCCTTAGCTTAGAGGAGGTTGATAAGTTGGTACGTTATCAACCCCACCATAAGTGGTTGTCTGGTATAGCTGTCTTTGGTGTCAAACCAGGTTCAAATCCTGATCCACAATTGACTCATTTTATGATTTCAGCAAGTTACTTCATCTCTGTGGACTTCCTCATGGTGGGACAGTGGGGAAAGCAGGTCCCAAGCCAAAACATCTTAGCCTTCCCTTCGACCCTTACCTCCTGGTCCTCTCCCCAGCTATCCAAACCAGAGAAGGTCTCTATCCCTGAGCGTTACGTGGAGATGGATCCTGAAGAGCCACCTAGCCTGGAGGAGTTGCAGGCACGGTATCGGAAAGCTGAGAAGATTCGCAACATCCTCGCCCGGTCAAGGTCAGCTCTTACTTGTCTTACTAGTCTTGATATCCCACTGGTACTGGCCACACATGGCATCTCATATGTGAGGAGACCGCGGCCAGGTTGGCTGGGGTGCATGTTTTGTCAATGTCTGTCTAAGRTGAGCTCCACTCATTGGAGGGGCAGGCAGGTCCTCAGATCAGTGAGAAATCTCACCTAAATCAACTGGAAAGTCCTAAAATACAACAGGAACTCTCACTCCCAAATCTGTCCCTGGTGATCCTAGAAAATGTGAGAAATGGAGCCCAGTTTGGAATTGAAGTGGACTCAGTTGGAGATTAGCTCTAGTGATGGCCCTCCCAGCATTTGGGCCCTTGCTTCCTCACACAGACCTGTAGACCAGGCCCCAGCCTTGTCCTGAGGGTGCCAGAGGCTTTGCCCGCTATCCTGGATATTGGGCTGGAACCCTAGGAAGTGGCTCCTCTGCCTCCATAGCTTTAGAAACTTGTCATATATGAGCTTCCCTCTCAGAGCTAGGTTAGCCATTTTGTGTCTGGATTTAACAGGAGCCTCCAGCTGGAGCCCTTAACTTAATGCCTGTGACCCTCCTATAATCATTGGATTGCTGGGGAGAAGCAGGTACTCTTAAGTCTTGGGAAAGTCCAAAGTTTGTAACTGATGCTCCCCAAGTGTTGAGAACCTCCAGATCAGGAAAACCCTTCACTCCTGAGCTGATGCCCAGGGCGGTGAGGGGCTATATCATCTGCTTTCCGCCCCCCTGCAGCATGTGCAACCTGCAGCCGACGTCAGGCCAGGACCGCAACAGCCTGGCCGACCTGGACTCACAGCTGCAAGAGCAGGAGCGTATCATCAACATCTCCTATGCCTTGGCCTCTGAGGCCTCCCAGCGCAGTAAGCAGGTGGCAGGTAAGGCCTGATGCCAGCCTCTAAGACCCAGTTCCCACCTGCTGTTCCTTGGGGCTTGAGCCCAACACAGCCTGTCCCAGAGCCAGGGAGTCAGTGGAAGTTGGCAATTGAGAGCCAACTCTGACTAGAGGGTGTGCTGTCCTTGGAGGGAGGGTGTTGCTGTGCGACTTCAGGTTTGTCAGGCCACTGAGCCAAGGGGCCAGGGCTAAGGTTTGTTTCCTCATGAAGAAAGAGCATTAAAGCCTCTGGTGCTTCTTCCCTGTTTACCCATCAGAGCATGTTGTGCCAGAAAGCAGAACTTGGAAAGTGAGGCTCTGACAGCCAAATGGAAAGAAATATCACCATGTGTGTTTGCATGGCACATGGATGTGTGCATGTGTTTGTAAAGGGGACTCCCAGCTCCTTCCTCCACCCATGTCTCCCCTCTGTATGGGAGACCTCTGTGTGTCTAGGTGCTGCCTCTGACCAGGGGTGCTCCTTCTGGTGTGGGGATGGTCATAGAACCTTAAGTGGTGTCACAAGTCTCTACAGGTTTTCCAACTCTGGCTATAGGATCTAGTAATGGAAGGGTGGGGCCTTCAGGGCCCTGTGGTGACTGACACCCTGGGGAGTCTGGTGTGGGAAGTAGAGCTTTGCTTTGACCTTAGGGGGCCATGGGAGTGACCCGTGACAAAGAGAGGGCTCATAGTCTCAGCAAAAAACTGTTCTTTGTCCCTGTAGAGTCCCTGAAATCCCTGCTATCCTCACTCCCTTCAAAGACATGCTGAGAGGGCTGAGAGGTGGTCAGCATGGTGCTCTACAGCTAAGGACATAGGAGACAACCATCCAGACTCCTCTTCCTAATGACCTTGGGCTCCTCTCAGCAACTTCTGAGCTCCTTCCCATGAGACTACCCTCACCCCAAGGCCCCTCCTCTCTGCTGTGCTTGCTCTAATTCTGGATCTGCCATCTTCAACTCCCTTACCACCAGCAGCTGGGCACTCCAGCTCCATCATCCTTGGTCAGTTGGTGGCCTTTTTCACCTCCAACTCAGTAATGAACTGCACTTTTCCTTGCTCTTGCTTCCTCTTCTGTCTCAGGACCTATTAGGAATCACAGGCATTGGATCCTTCCAGGCCCAGGTCATTAGGGGGGTCAGCAGGGCCCATGCCACCCAATCCTGCCAAGTGGGGTGTCTGTGCTGCAGGAGTAGATGAGTCTAAAACATCACTTAATTCATGTGTGCTCCGTCTAGCGCAGCAGCTGGCCCTCCTCCCGCCTAAAGCCCCCTTGTCCTCCAGGACGGTGCCACCTTACTCCCCCTTAAGCAACGGACTCCACTACACCTTTGTCTAACACCTTCCAAGTAAGAGCCCCTGCCTGATGTGCCCCTGCGCTGCTCCCTGCTCCTCTCCTAGTGCTAAGCATGCCCCCAACTCCTTACCCTGCTGAGCTGATTGCAGTGATTCCTGCTGATGTTCCCTTCTGTTGGCACAGTGACTGCTGGAGGGACCCATCTGGATAGTAGGCAGGTTGGAGAATTGATGCTTTTTAGGTACTCTGTCCTCGGTAGCCCCCATACTATAGAGACCGCAACCTGGATCACTCCCTCCCTGAAATCTCACTCCACACATCTTATTCTCCTTCCTCAGGACAACTTGACAACCCAAAGACCAGCACAGACCGTGGCTGCCAGCCTTAGGGGTTGGAAAAAGAAGAGTTAGATCTTGGCCTTTCAGGCTTTAACCAAAGAAATTGAAGAACTGCAAGACTAGAAAAAGGCCAGATAGGCCAGCGCACAAGCAAGCAGGCTGGGTGCACTCCATGTCACACAGCATTGATGTCAGAGCAAGGACTGGGACTGCCTTTTTAATCACTTAGCAACTTAGAGAGGCCCAGAGCCACATACAATTGGCTCTCAGCCAGTGGAGGGGGGGGGCGGGGGTCTGGCACCACCCACTCACCCTCCCCGTGGTGAGATGCAGCATGGGGTAGAGAATGAGCCCTGGACCAGGAACCAGGAGGCCCACGTCTGGTGGGTTTTGAGTGGGCTCATGTCCTGTGCCAGTTGCTGCCTCACATGGACAGGGAAGGATCAGATAGAGGTCTTACTGGTCCCTCCCCTGACAGTCCATCTCACTGTCATTTTGCAAAGTATTCCCCTCTCTTTCCTTTAATATTTGTTATAGTTAACCTTGTTGAGTACCTACTATGTGCCAGGCATTGTGCTAAACGTCTCTTTTGACCCACACAACAACCCTGTGAAGATATTTACCCCCATTTTACAGATGAGAAAACGAAGCTCAGAGACCTTGAGGGATTTGTCCAAGGAGTCGCAGCTTGTAAGTTTCAGGGTTTGAAGCCCTTTGGTGTAGTCCAGAGCCTTTGTTCTCCATCACCACTCATGGACTTGTCTGGGCCACCCCAGGAGCTCTAGATGTCTGAAGAGCGGGAAGTGAGGGACACTACTTGTGTTGCCACAGGTGGAAATATGATTTTTGGCAGAGGTCCTCCAGCTGGGCATTCCCTAGGTTTTGGTTCCCTGGCCAAGTCTGCCTGAGGGTGGAAGGAAGAGGTCAGCCTTCTTGGGCCTGGTACTCAGATGTGGTGAGGAAGCCCAGAACTAGGAATCCTGGGGAGATGCTTCAGCTGGGTCCTTTGTAAATGCTTTAGGGGCCTTCCAGGAACATGGTAGGGTGTGGTTTCCTCCTAGAGATCTGAGAGGGATAATACCACACAGGCAGAGAGATAGGAAAGAGGCTTCACCCACTCTGGTTCTGGGGTGTTATAGGCCTTGAATGCTCTTTTTATAATACATCCATATTCTTCTTCCCCTCACTGCCTCATTTGGAGGGTGGTATGATCCTCTATTTTTAGATTAGAAAAACAGCCCACAGAGGCTGAGTTATATAGAATTATTCAATGAATGAAGGGCAGGGCCATAAATGGATCCCCGAGTCTTGCCCAGGTCCTTTGTTCTATTGCACAGAGATCCAGTTTAGGGACCTGCATGTGTCTGGTGTACTTCCTAGAAGCAGAGACAGGGTGAGGCCCAGAGCCAAAGAGTCCTAGAAGCCAGTGGTCCCTCAGCAGCGGCCACATTGCCTAAGCCCTGTGCTCTGCTGCTCTGTCAAGCCTGTCTGCCATCCTCTGTCGTGTGTGCACAGACATGCCCACTGCCTACTTTCCAGACATGAGGAGGGATCCCAACAGTCTCTTATTATCTCATGTTTTTTTTTTTTTTGCCAGCCCAGGCAGTGACGGAACCGTGACCCATTGTGCAGAGGAAAAGCCTGGAGCCAGGGGCCCAGTGGAATCAACTTTCTCCCAGGAGATCGGCTTTTCTGCCCCCATGGAAACCCCTTCCAGCTGAGCAAGGGTTCTGGCTGGAAGAAGGAGCAGTCCACCAATCATGGGACAATCCCTATGGGGCTCAGTCCTAACACACACTACTTTTTCAATTCAGACTCCTTTTTACAAGCAACAAAAAGCACTTTTGATATACACTTGTAAAATACTGACACTGTATTTTAGAATCAGAATATATTTTATAATGTTCACCTCAAGGGCTGAGTGGCTGGAAAGGTGAGAATGCAGGATTTTGTTGCTGCACATATAAATTCAGGTACTGTTGGGATGGTAAGTGTGGGTGGTGGGGATAAAGGCAGGGCAAGCAGAGGTCAGTCCCAACTACTGATGAACTCAGGGGAAAGTTGGATTGACAATGTGCTTCCAGTGGATTCCAGCATTAATCTTGTTGGCATGCTGTCTGAGAAAAGAGGGCCCCTTGGCTGCAGAGATGAGCCATCCCTGACCTGACCTGACCTGACCTGACCTGACCTGATGACCAGCTCTGGGTGAAACTCCACCAGTATGCAAGGGGAACCCAAGTCTACAACTTGACCCTTGGTTTTGGTTTAGGGACAACAGTGTGATCAAGAGCTTTGGCCTCTCCAACCTGCCCAGGAGGCTCCCTTAGCAAAGGGCTCTTCTCAGAAGAAAAGCAATTTATTAAAAAAATATATACATGCACACACATACACATTCATTTTGAGGTACAGAAAAGGTAAGATGAATCAACTTTTTTGTATTGTAGCAATAAGCTCCACACTAGGTGACATCTGTCTGAAAATCCCTGACTGAATGCTTCCCTTCAGGCAGGCTGTGTTGGGAACATTGGCTGCCTGCCCTGGAGAGCCCCAGGTCAGCTGCTCTAGGACTTGGGTCTGGTAGCAACAGAACAAGCAATGTGCTCTCCACCATCCCCAATGGGCCTGTCATCAGTGGGGCCACCATGGCAGGACTTGGACTTGACTTTCAGACCCAAATGAGGAGGAGACTACCAAGCCAGGTGCAGTGTTTATGATCCTTTATTTAAGTTATATCATGATATTTTCTATACAGAAAATGATGTTTAAAAGGAAAAAAACAGACACAAAAACCTCCATTGGGTGGAGCCACACTTTAGATCAAAATTTAACTATGCTCAGAAAAACAAACAAAAATCTTGAATATATTTAGAAGTTGCTATCTATTTTTAACTAACTCCATATGCTGCCAGTATCAACTTCATGACATTTGCCAAAATAAAATTTTATTTTTGCCTTTATAAGATTTTGTTGAAAAAAATGAAATGACTATTTTGCAAGAAGTTAATTTAAATAAAGGTGTGATGGTTTGCAAAAAAAAATGTGATGTACAGATTAAAATATTAACCTGATATGTTTCCTGTTTCTTGCTGGCTGTGTTCTCTCACAAGTGGTGGTGGTAATTTTTTTCCATTTCTTGGGAAAGTCCTCATTTCTTAGCTCTCACCCCTGCTTATGTTCACCTATGAAAATCCTCTCCTGATGACAGTTCCTTGACATTTGATTGGCTTTGGAAGTCTCAGGAAAGGAGGGTTGGCGTCTCAGTCCTTGGCTGGGCTTAGCAGCTGCTCCGGTGGCCCCCACCTCACCCAGCCTAGGAGCCGCCAGGCTGTGGACTCCCGTGTGGGGCTGATTTGGCAGGCAGACTGCAATCCAATCTGAGATAGCACAGGGGACACCACAGGCCCCCTTCCAACCCACATGCCATTGGCTCCTTCCAATGAAGCGGGTTAGTGACGGACCATTGCAAACTAGATTTGTATTTAATTCATCTTGACTTGTGATGTATGCTTAAAACAGAAGGCAAGAGGCCATTTTGGTCGAGGGATGTGTCTACTTCCAGGATTGTTGTTATGGCAGTTTTTCTACATTGCCAAGAAGAGAGTCCAAGGTTTGGGGTGACTTTCTAATTATTTAAACTGGGAAAAGTAGATTCCAAGGCATTCTGGACAAAAGATACTGCTGCTTTTTTAGCCACTGATTATTTTTTAATTTTGAAAAAAAAAATACTCTAGTTTTAAACATTACTTGGCGATGTCACCATAACCGATGAAAGGGATAGGGTTGGGGGATAATTCCATTACTGAGTGCAGTGGCCTCCCAACAAAAATAAAAACAAACACAAACCCACAGTGAAAACATGTCAACAGTTTTTGTTCTCTTGGTCTGTTTCTCTTTCACACATACAATCCTGTGTATGAAGGAACATGGCAACTCTCTATAGCTGCTGTTTCCAGAGTACGCCATCAGCAAGGAGGTGTAGCCTGCTCTATGAGAATCATGGCCCACATTTTAGTCTGCAGAGAAGAGTGACAGGCCTTCAGCTCAGACTCAGCCGAAAGCACTCGTGGTTCATAAAAGGTACATCCCAGCTACCTGTGTGTAAGAGGCAGCATGGCCTCGCCCTTCTCAACCCTTCAAGAGGACTCTGGATACCTGAGGTAAGATATAGCCATCTGTGAAAGCACTGGCTGACCAGGCATACTTCAGGGTGAGGACAACTCTGGGGAACTCCATGTGGCCCAGCAATTCCAACTTCACTTACAGGGAGCCCCAGGGCCTGAGCCAAATTTTAAACAATGGAATTGCAGTTGACAAAGGGACATGAATATGCTTCTGTACCCACTTGTTGAATTTTTATTTTTATTTGTTGGTACCTGGAATTGAACCTAGGGTTGCCTAACCACTGAGCCACATTCTAGCCCTTTTAAAATATTTTGAGAGAGTCTCACTGACTTGCAAGTGCCTTGCTAAGTTGCTGAGGCTGGCTTTGAACTTGTGAGCCTCCTATCTCAGCCTCCCAAGTTGCTGGGATTATAGGCGTGCACCACCATGCCTAGCTCCACTTGTTGAGTTTTTAATTCCTTTAACCCAGACCCAGGATGGCGCCAGGATATGTGTCTTTAGCATGAACCAACAAGAGTATTTTAGGATCTAGTCTTAAATAGGAGTTAGGAATAAAATCTTGTTTTCCTTAATCCCCACTTGAATCTCCAGAACTGCCAATTTTCTCAACCTGTCTGGGACATCGTTTAAATGATTATGCTTATACATACATTTTGAAGACATGTGAAGTAGATGTCCCAGACTAGTGTGGATGTGAAAAGAAGGTCCTTGTTCCTTGCCTTAGTGTCTGATTGGGGCTGTGTAAGCTATAACAGGTCCCTCCCCTCCCTCTGAGATCTTGGCTGCCTTCAGGTAAGCTGGATTCTTCAGAATTTTCCTGGCTGTTTTAATTGACTGTCCAAGGCCAGGGATTCATCTGTCTGTTCAGGGACATTCTCCAGGGGCTTGAAGGTTTTTGGGGTCAGCTTTGGCTGGGAAAGTGTTTGGAGAGGGGCAGAGGTATACACAGTCTCAGTCTGACGGGAGCCTGTTTGGGGCTCTGGGAGTTTCCCACCGCTGCAGTGCAGTACTCCATGATAAGTCCTTTTGTGTTCTCACCAAGGGTGGGAAAAGAAGCAAATTATTTGTCTAATCCACAAATCATATTTCTGAGACATGACAGGCCAATCCTGGGAGCCCTCTGCTTGAGACTCGGCATCAGATGCTGAGCTGTGCAAGGGACTTTGCCAATGTGGGTTGCATGTCGTTATGAAAAGAACAAAGAGACCAGGCTGGGGAAGACATGAAAAATGGTAGCCCCTCCTGGCGCGGTAAACACACCATTGCTTTGCCGCCTCCACTCAAAAGGCTACCACTTTCATTGCTCCCCTAGCAAAGAAACCTTTCTTCAGAGCGAGTGGCGGGGTACAAAGGCAGAGCACAAAATGTGCACACATCACAGTTCCCGCAATTCTGTTTGAACAAGCATATTGATTGGGTCTGACCCTGTTACATTTTTTCCCTATTATTTGAAAAGGTGCATCTAAGTGTAGTGAATTGAACCAGCAGAGCTGAACTTTCCATGAAAACTTCTTGAGGTATTTCTTTAGTTCAAAGCTTTTGAATTTTAAAAGGGCATTTTTAATATGAGTCTGTTGAGTATTCTCTGCCACAGCCCAACAAGGCATGTTAAATGCAGATGAGGCTGGAGCAGGGAGGCTAGGGGTGGAGGCTGAGGCTGTAGCTGGAGGGTATGGACCAGCTTGGCCTTGGGCAGAACCCCAGGCTTGGAAGCAATGTATACCCTAAAAGAGACCTCCTTGAGCACAAGGGGGACAGCTTAGCCATGGAGAAGAAGCTGCATGGCTAAGCTGCTGAAGCTAGGAAGCACTCACTGGGGACTCCTTTTGATGAAGGAGGGTTGTGTCATGAGTGAAAGTCTCCTTGCTGCTCAGCTGCTTACTATCTCGCTCTGCCTTAGAACTGAGAAGGAACAAGGGAGGCAAAGAGCCCCTTTGGCCGAGGACCCAGCATCAGACAGGAAGTGACTGTAAGTGTTTGCAGTCATACACACAATTTGCCTCTGCCCCTTAGCCCTGGGTAGATCAAATTGATCAGTCACAGATGCTTTCCCTCTTCACTCTGAGCTGTGTCTCGATCTTTAACTAGTTTGATATCATTGGATGTTTTGCTAGTTGTGTGGGTAGTAGCCATGGTCCTACCTGGCATCCTGGCCCAGAGCCCTGTAACTATCTATAGAATCTCATTATACCCCCCTTGTGGTCCAGAACAGACCATGGCTCCTTTTGAAGTTTCTGGCTTCTTGATGGCCTGTCTCTGCTTGTCTCTAGAGGCCTTTAGGCTCTAGAAAGCACCTCTTTCCTAGACCCAGAATTTGGTCTCAGAGACAGATTTGTTCCTGGGAGGAGCTGGAAAATCAGGTCCTACATGGAAAGAACCCAGGGTTTGGATATCTTAGCAAAATCCTTTCAGTAAAATCCATGCCAAATCTCCAGTCTAGAAGACAGTGACCCAGGGGATCACAACAAGGACAGGATTATAGTAAAAATAAATAAATAAATAAATAAAAATAAAAAACAGTGGTTCTCTGGGCCCATCTCTGCCCACAGTTGTGGAAACACCAGCTCTCTCCAGAGTCTGCCACCTTGTCCTGGGAAGCCACATAAATGTTGAAATTCATTTTCTTGGCTATCATTTTCAGGCCTTCCTGCTGTTACTTGTGTTTCTAGAGGCCACACGAGCCAGTGGGCACAAAGGAAGTCCAATGACAGTAACAACTGAGACTTCTTGGCCTTTCCCAGTTCTGCTCACCATGGGGGCCTTAGCCAGTATCTCCACTGATCACTCCTGAGAGTCCCTAGACACACCTCGTATAAGTTGTCAACAGTCCTCACTAGTTTAAGTTCCCCCACTTGCAGCTTTTAGATGTCTCCAGCAATGAGCTCCCCCGGGGCGGCCTCTCACCACTGCCCCTGAACTCCAGGAAAGCTGTTCCTTCTTGGCTTGTAGTCTCCTCCCCAAGCTGCAAACCCCTGAAGTATTGATGACTCTTCTCTCCACCAAGCCCTAGCTCCCTCATTTTTAATCTCTTGGGCCTCAAATCAAGGCTACCTGTGTTCCTTTACCTGGCTCTTGCATCCTCTGTGTCCCTCTCCTCACTCAGGACTCAGCTCTCTTTCAGATAGCTATTGTCGTGTGTTCAAAGGTCCCAAAATATGTTGGTTCAGCACCACAAGAGTTTATTATTTCTCATGATTCTACCATCTGGGCTGAGCTAAACTGGGAAGGTCTTCAGGGACTGGAATGTCTGTCCACATTTGCTCCTTTATTCATCTGTGAGCCCACCCACAGCGGGATGGCTGGGTGTGCCAGCATGGCTGGGCATCACTGTGTCTCCATCTCCCAGTGGCTGCTTGGTCTTCTGTTCTGAAGAAGCATGAAGGGCTTCTGGTAGTTGGACTTTTGACCTCAGCTGGCATCTCAGGGAAGCAAAGCTGCCAGGCCTTTAAAAGTTAAGACTGGAATTGGCAGTGTCACTTCTTCCACGATCTTAGGTGCTTAGGGCACAAGCTTCACAAAGTGGGATGCTTTCTGTGACTGTCATCAGTCAGAATGTCTGCCATGCAGTCTGCCCCCATTACACTTGGCTTATCTGCCACCCTGTGGGCTCTGGGCAGCTGCCCTTCGCTCAGTGCCCACTACTACGGATGCTCACTGACTGCTGGGGGAAGGAGGGATTGGAGCATATGAGTGGGCTGTGGTGCCTACCTCCTGCTTCCCCATTTCTTGCTATTCCAGGAGAGCTGGCCCTGGGGTGACAATGCAGAGACCTAGAGAAAGTAGGAGCAAGCC